TACAAGAGAAGAATTTAGATTGTGATCCATTGACAAGAACTGCACAATTAGAGGATGAAATGATATGAAGGATCCAAGAACACCACCTGCTACCAAATCCCCTACCTTTTAGTAACTCTATGAGAAAAGACCAGTCAATAGAATCAAAGGCCTTGGCAAAATCAATCTTGAACATAACAACTTCCTTCTTCCTTTTGAAACATGAATGTATCATTTCATTGGCTTGGAGAATAGAATCAAGTGTTGATTTTCTCGATTGGAAAGTTGTTTGTGTAGATGCCACCAATGAAGACATATGATGAGATAGCCTATTTACCAAAATTTTTGAGAAAATTTTGAAGAGGCAATTGATAAGGCTAATGGGTCTGAAATCTTTCACCGTAGAACACTCCTTGGTTTTAGGTATCAAAGTAATAAACACTTTGTTCTATGAAGATGAGATGGATCATAATAAAAATGACGCATTAAAGAAATAAGATTTTCTTTAATAAGATCCCAAAAGGATTGATAAAAAGACATTGAGAAGCCATCTGGCCCTGGGGCTTTATTAGCATTCATATCAAACACTGTATTTTTAATTTCCGCCTCAGTGAACTGATCTTCCAAGGATAACAAAGAATTCTCTTCTTGTGGATATAGAGTAGACCAATCTACATGTAAGTGGTTACTCTTACTATTTCCAAATAATTCATAGTAGTAATTATAGAAAGTGTTAGCAACATCATTATTACCAATGTAATTTCTACCTTGATGATTGATAGCCGCTATGAAATTAGCTTTCCTATGGTAGAAAACTGTTTTGTGAAAAAAAGAGGTATTATCATCATCCTCTTTTAGCCATTGCACTCGAGATCTTTGATGCCAATATGTTTCTTCCTCTTTGATCAAGGAAGTATAAGAGTTTTGAAGAGATTGCCTATCAGTAGATTCCAAAACCGAGAGAGGTCTCTGTTCCTCTAATAAATCAAGAGCATTGATTTTGCATAGAACTTCTAACTTCCTATTGGACATAGAACCAATAACATTCTTTTTCCACCATTTTAGTCTCCTCTTAAGAAGTTTCAATTTCAAAATGAAGATATCCACAAGGTTTCCCTGGCCTTGAAAAGAATTCCAACAGCTAGAAACAAAAGTGATAAAATCAGGGTTATGTAGCCAACTTCTCTCAAAACGAAAAATTGGTGTTGATGGCTTTAAACCTCCACTATCAAGAATAATTGGAAAGTGATCAAAACCTGTTGCAGGTGGAGAAAACTGAATGCAAGAAGGAAATTTGTTTTCCCAAGAAGAATTAATAAAGAACCTGTCGAGTCTAGCCATAGAAGGACGAAGTCTCTTATTGGACCATGTAAAGGCTCTTCCAGATAATGGTAAGTCAATAAGAGAAACAGAGGAAAGAAAATCCCAAAAAGACTTAATATCTCTAGTAGATCCAAGACGACCATTACATTCATCAGAAGACAAAGTGACATTAAAATCTCCACAAAGAATCCAAGCTCCAGGAAGAATTGATCGAATACGATCTAATTCCACCAACAAACTTCTCTGTCCTCTCTGTTCATCAGAAGAAAGAGGTCATCTGCTCTTGGGTAAAAATCAAAGACTCATCTTTGGGACGAGCTTGCAAGTTATGCAAGTCGTCGGTGTTCTCCATCATAGTGGAATCTCCCTTCACCCTTCCCGTGGACGTAGGCAAGTAGCCAAACCACGTAAATCTCGTGTCTTCTTTATTGTTTTCTGTGTATTGACTATTGCTTGTGTTCGTCCTTTGTCCTTAAAGGGGTTCATTGTTCCTCAAAATTCAGACCTTGATTTGAAATCGGGAAGAGTGTATATCTCACCTCGCTGAGATATTCACTTTTGCTCTTGTTTCATATTAAAACTGGAACATCGAGGTTGACTTGAGGTTTGTCAAAACAAAAATCAGGGCTTTCTCTCGAGGTGATTTGCTTCCGCGGCGAGTGAGTGTGTCTCCCCCCACCCCCAACATTTTAAAAAGAATATATTTTGTTTAACATTCTTCTCACTGAAGTTACTCTATATTTTATTTTAAAAATTTTCACTCTTCTATTTTGTTCCCTAATTTAGAGAAATAAAAAATGCCATATGATCTATGTCTTTAGGCGAGGAGGAAGCGCAGAGCAAGAGAATAGGAAGGAGGGTAACAGTTTAGGAAGATAGCCAAGCCAGATAGGATAGAAGTAACAAATTCAATGAACATATGGAAAGACAACATCAGCCTTCCGACTTTTTAGCCCATTTTGTATTTTTTACCAATTAATGTTTTCTTAAAACACTAAGAGGACCGAATCATCGTCCAAAAAAATCAGACCAGGCATAAAATTTTTCCTCTTTTCGATTAATGCAAGGAACTTCTTGCAAAAGAATTTTTGTCAATTTGGGAAGACAAAGTCTTATGAGGTTTCGTGTAGTACGAAGTATTGTCGGGTTTGTGAAGCTTACTGATAAGTTAAGGTATAAGAATCAACAATGCTATTTGACTCGCTATTGTGGCTCGCTCTCTCAACTCGCGCCCACGTGGAGTGCCAGCTCAGCAAATCCAGCCTGTTCTCCACCTTCCCCAAATCGTCCAATTCAACACGAGATTGTTTCTCTCCGTCCCCAAATTTTCTCTTCCTTCCCCAAATCTACAGGCTACCACCGTCCTCCCCCTCCCCAACCCCAGCTTCAAATCCGCCTCATTCTGGCCACCTTCCTCCCCTCCCCCAACCCCCCCGTCAAATCCGCCATGGCTGGAATCGCCGCCGCCCCCTGAATCGCACCCAAATTGACGAGATCGAGGCCGCGATCAAGCAGATCCCTTCCTCCTAGGCCATTGAAGCCCTTCAAAACAGGTACCTTTCATCTAGATTTGATATATTTCGGGTTAGGGTTTTTTATGAGAGAAAATTTGGGTAGTTGATTTAACGCTGGGTATTTTAACCCATTTGGTATTGATGCACTATGTTAATCTTTTATTTGATTTTTTTGTTTGAGCATCCAGATTCGAGAGGCATACTGTGTAGCTAATTTTCCTTGCATTATAAAATCTACCTTCTAGCTTCTAGCTAATTTCCGTTGTTAGTCTGTCCCAAATTGGTCCTTTGCATTATAAAATCTGCCTTCTAGCTAATTTATTGAGTGGGATTCCCTTTTTCTGTTGATGCTTGATGGTGAAAAAACAGCGAAGGAATTTGAGCAGGTATGAAACCAATTCTTCACCCAAGGAATTTGAAACCAATTCTTACATGGTCCATTTTTTGTTGATATCTGATTGTAGAAATTTTATCAATCTTACGTTTGTAGATTGAAGAAGCATTGAGCAGGTATGAAAAGCATTTGGTAGTGATGCACTATGTTAGACTTTTATTTGATTTTATTATTATACTCTAGACAGAATAAACAAGTGGATGTGCTCATTATTCCTTGTTTATTTTGAGATTCATAATCTTATCTTGGGTTAGCTGTATAAAATTTACAGTTTATGGCTGATAATTTTAATTTACAGTTTTTTTCCTTAAGAGAGTGACGTATGGTCTAAAACTTTCTTCTACTGCAGAATCATGTCGTCAACATCTTCTCAACAATCATCCTCTTCTCAACGGGCAAGGTTCCTTGATAGGAGGCTATATGTTGCAATGTGGAATCGTCCACCTCCATACGAGATTCCAAATTGCTTTTGTGGGATTCCAGTGCAAATGAAGACTTCTTACACCCCGAGGCATCCGTGTCGTCGATTTGGAATTTGTGCTACAAACACTTGTAATTGTTGGACTTGGTTAGATCATGGTGAAGTACCAAGTTACGCTCACGACGCAATGAATATATTTATTCGCAAGTTTGAAGAGCTTTCAATTGAAAATGAGAAATTGAGATCAAGAATACATGGGAAAGAAAATGGAGTTTGGAAGAAACATATTCAGGAAAAAGGCTTTCTAATTGGAATTTTTGTTGGTTTCATGATGTCCATTTTTCTTGTAATAATATCCAAGTAAGGGTATGTTTTTTGGTTTGGACCTTGTACTATTTTGCTAACTCAACTATGTAATGAAAATCAGTGTTCAATGAAAATCAGTGTACTATTTTGCTAACTCAACTATCAGGATTTAACTCCTAAAGGATTACGAAGATGGGGCTCATTACTTGCATCAAGCTCAAGCTCAAGGTCATCCTAAAGGAAGAACATGTAATCTTGATTTACTCATTTTGATTCCTGTAACTGTACAACTTGGCTCGGCTCAGTAATTTGCACTTGAAATGTAACTTCTGAAACTTATGCATTATGTGCCATTGAGACAACATATCTTCTAGCTGAGCTAGCTTGTTGCACAAGTACAATGTTTAAGTAACTCATGTTTAAGTTGGATTCAATTGTGCCAGGTTTAAGTTGGTCTAAATTGTGCCAGGTTTCAGAACATGAGTCAGAGAGATATCAAGCTCAAACTGGCTTTTTTTATCGTATCAACATCAGTTGGAATTCTTGTTTGCTTTATTCTAAACCTTAGTCAGATAACGTGTGATCCTTGTATTCTGAATTAATCTCAATTCTCTATCAACATCAGCTTGTGTTTTTTTTCACCATTACATGTGTGAGACCCCGAATAGCATGAAGGAGACTGTTTGAGACAGCAGGAGAACCACTTGAAAGCTGTTTTCTAAAGAGTAAAGAGACCCTGGAAACTAAATGCATAGTTCATGGATTTCCAACAGCACACAGAAGACAGAAGACTGAAATCACACAAGTAATCACATACCACAAAGTCAAGTCCACAAGTAATCACATACCACAAAGTTTTCCACAAGTAATCACATACCACAAAGTTTTCCAAGTAATCACATACCACAAAGTCAAGTCCACAAGTAATCACATACCACAAAGTTTTCCACAAGTAATCACATACCACAAAGTTTTCACATAATAATCACCTACCACAAAGTTTTCCACAAGTAATCACATACCACCAAGTTTTCACATAATAATCACATACCATAAAGTTTTCCAACAGCACACAGAAGACAGAAATAGCTCAAAGATAACATAGTTTTCCAACAGCAGTAACAGAAGCAGCAGGAGCAGCAGGACAATAACATCCGTATGCAGTAACAGGCAATGGAAAATCACACTCTGGATCAATTTAGTTTCATGCACACTAGTCACACAGTAGGTCCACCTGAAAGAAGACTAGCAAGTCCACCTGAAAATCACACTCTGGAAAATCACACAGCAGGTCCACCTGAAAGAAGACTAGCAAGTTAGTTTCATGCACACTAGTCAAATATGTATACTACATGAATCAATTTATAATTAGGGATGGAACCAGATTGAAAATTGAGGGTGTTCATATATGTATTTGTATATAATCATCAACTTCAAATTTGCCTTTCATATCTCTGTCTGAAGTAGTCTTAAGTAGTCTTAACTTAGAAATTCTGTCTGAAGTATTTGTTCATATATGTATTCATATATGGAAATTCTGACCTATACACAGGACTTCTCTGTCTGAAGTAATCTTAACTTAGAAATTGAACATATATACCCCAATAAGCAAGAGCATACCCATAGTTTTGATGCATCACATCATGTTTCTTTGATGCAATCCATACCAAGGTGTCAACCCCATCGCATGTGGATCTCCAGGCATTGGAAATTGAGGCTGTAACACATCATATAGATATAAGGGTGTAGCTATAGTGATTAAAAAAGATTTGCATCAATGTAAGCTATGGGCTATATCTTACCAACTGCATTCCCCATGGATGCACAGTATTTGCTTGTGTCATGTAAACATTTGAAACCATGTTATCTTGTGTGTAGGAATGAACACCCTCTTGAGACTGTGATGGATTGTTGATGGGCACATTAGCAGCTAGATCAATTTTCTTCTTTCTTCGCCTACTTGTTGGCTTCATTCTGTTTTGCCTAGGCCGACCTTTCCGAGTCTGAGAGAGAGGATCCAATATGTTTTCATTTTCATCCTTTTCATATTCCTTTTCTTCTTCCACAAAATCATGATTCATCTCTACTTCTTTTCCTTTCTGACTTGATTCAGCAAGTTGTAGTTCTCTAAATTTGGTGTCTATCCATTTTTTAACAACCTCAGATTCATGATTGTTTTGAGCAGCAAGATCAGCAACCTCACTAAATGCAAGACATAGCTCGCGATAACGTAATTGTTCAGGTGTGACAACCCAAGTATTAAATTTAACTTTCATCTTCGAGTGGGCTCGCCTCACATCCTTTCGCCACCTTCGTAGAATGTACTTTTCCGGAAGAAAGCTGACGTCGTGACGAATAAGAATGGTAAGAGCATGTCTACATACTATGCCTTTAAACACAAACAACTGACAACTACATTCAACTTCACTGTCCGTTTCACGAAAGGTTACTTTGAAGAATTTAGGAATCCTTTTGCCGCCCTCCAACCGCAAAGTCATGTCCCGAATGACATACTCAAGCACCCCTGCTCCCTCCTGAAAGTTTACAATATCACAATACATCTTTCCCGTGAATTCAGCTTGAAACTCTTTAAACTTTGCTAAAGTGTAGACTCCCTGAATTTGACTCTCCATATCATAAGTTGTTGCGGTAGCTTTTACTTTTGAAAATGACTCAGCATCGGCCCGCATCTCCTTTTCAGTCTTGTTTCTTAATGCATTTTCATATTGCTCTACAAACTGTTTCAGACTTGTTTTCGAATTGACATATCCATCAAAAAAAGCATTCATGCTTTCACTTCGCTGAGTAGTTGACATTCCTGCCCAAAAACAATTTTTTTTCTCTCCTCGTACAATTCACCTAACCAATCACAATCCTCCAATCCATACATGTCAACCATTTCATTCCACTGTTTTTCAAACTCTTGTGGACTTTGTGTGTCATACACCACTCCTTTCATGGTAGAACTTATGGCCTCATATTCAGTGTACCTTCCTAACTTTTCTGACAACTTCTTCATTATATGCCACAAACACCATCTGTGTCTAGTGTTTGGAAAAACAATCTCAATTGTATTTTTCATGGCTCTTGCTTGATCAGTTATTATCCCTTGCGGAGCACATCCATCCATGCATTCAACCCACTTCGTAAATGGCCATATGAAAGTCTCTGTGTCTTCTTTTGAAATCAACCCACATCCAAGTAAAATTGATTGCCCATGATGGTTAACGCCAACAAATGGTGCAAATGGCATATCATATTTATTTGTTAAGTATGTGGTATCAAAAGTGACGACCTCACCAAACTCTTTGTAAGCTTCTCTGCTCCTACCATTTGCCCAAAATACATTCTTCAAATGATCTTCATCATCCAATTCAATATCAAAATAGAAACCTGAATTTTCTGCAACCATCCTTGAAAAATATTTCATAATCGCTGAAGCATCCCCTTCGCCGAGACGTAAACGCCTTGATTCATCAACCAAGTTCCTGCAAGCCTTTTCATCACACAACATATTCTCATATCCACCAGCCTCATGTACTAGTGAGCTAAAATTTTTGTTCATTCTGATTCCGGCTTGATCATTCAAATTAATTTGATGTCTAACATGTGCACTAATTCTTCGGTTGCATCGAAAGAAACGACTTTTAGTAGGGCTAAGGCCATGATTATGCTCCAGAACAACCACAGATATTTCCCATCTTCCATCAAGATTTAACCTAGCTGTTATCTTTGCATTACACCCAACTTTGTAGCTTGCTTGTGGTTTTAAAGGATTTTGACAAGTACTATTATGTTTGCCAGCTCGACCACATACAAAAGTTATACTTCTAACAATGCCTATTACATTCTTCCTTCTTGTATGTTTCTTAACTGGAAATCCACTGCTCTTTGCATAGTCTCTGTAGAACTCAAACAATTCATCTGGATCATTAAACTCCATCCCAATTTTAGGCTCATTTTGCTCAATCTGCTGATCAGTATTCTGAGGCAACTCATATCTCTCATCAACCGAGCAATTAATCCCGCCATCATCATCTAAATCATCTGCCATGCCTGTTCAAATTGATCATCAATAAATGATCAATAAACTTTACCAAAAAATAGTTGACAGAAACTGAACAAAGAAATTGAGCTGAACAAAGAAATTGAGCAAAGAACTGACTGAAACTGAAAAGTTGCATCTTGAAAACACAGATTTTATTCCTTAACAGAGAAGACTAACTTTTATTTAGAGCCTGCCTCAAATTAATCACATTCAAAGCAAATGAGATCTCTAACATGTATTGTAGTATGGAAAATAAAATAAAAGATTAACATAGTATGCCTCTCGAATCTGGATGCTTAAACAAAAAGTCAAATAAAAGATTAACATAAAATAAAAGATTTTATAATGCAAGGAAAATTAGCTACACAGTATGCCTCTCGAATCTGGATGCTCAAACAAAAAAATCAAATAAAAGATTAACATAGTGCATCAATACCAAATGGGTTAAAATACCCAGCGTTAAATCAACTACCCAAATTTTCTCTCATAAAAAACCCTAACCCGAAATATATCAAATCTAGATGAAAGGTACCTGTTTTGAAGGGCTTCAATGGCCTAGGAGGAAGGGACCTGCTTGATGGCAGGCTTCAATGGCGTAGGAGGAAGGGATCTGCTTGATCGCGGCCTCGATCTCGTCAATTTGGGTGCGATTCAGGGGGCGGCGGCGATTCCAGCCATGGCGGATTTGACGGGGGGGTTGGGGGAGGGGAGGAAGGTGGCCAGAATGAGGCGGATTTGAAGCTGGGGTTGGGGAGGGGGAGGACGGTGGTAGCCTGTAGATTTGGGGAAGGAAGAGAAAATTTGGGGACGGAGAGAAACAATCTCGTGTTGAATTGGACGATTTGGGGAAGGTGGAGAACAGGCTGGATTTGCTGAGCTGGCACTCCACGTGGGCGCGAGTTGAGAGAGCGAGCCACAATAGCGAGTCAAATAGCATTGTTGTTATGATACATCTTCCAAAAGAAATGGAACAAGGATTTTATGTCCCATCAAGAAATGGACTATTTCATCTAGGATTATAATTACATTGCCAAACGATGCTATTTACATAAATAATTTTTTTAAATGCCTACACTAATGCCTGTTTGCTTGCCATTTTTTAAGAGTTTTGTGGGTTGTAATACTGTTAGTGTCAAGCGCTATGGTATTACAACAAACTCCTCTGTTCAGTGAATTAAAATGGCCATTTTACTATAGCTGAGTTGACAGCTACTGTAGCTGAGTTGGCAAGCCATTAGCAATTTCTAACAAAAAGTTAGGAAATGGGGTCACCTATTGTAACTTTCAGGCATAGCTAGGCCATCTAGTTCCGCGGTATTGTAGTAACTATGTGTTTTAAAAAAACATAACCATAAAGGCCGTGCGTCTTTTAACTTCTAATTAGACGATATTATATACACATATGATATCACCTTGTATCTTCAAGGACACTAAAAAACTAAAATGGTGTATTCTTTATGGAGTACACATCTTATCAAAATGTCCAACAAGATGCAGAAGGCATGTGCAATAATAAAGAGAACACTAGGATAATTTCGGTGCCTCCCTCAGCTCACCCGGCACCACACTCTTTTTTGTGGGCGAGATGCAAGGTTGATCAAAGGCGCATACGTAGATCAGAGACTAAAATGGTGAAACAAAAGGACTCATTATAGTCGTTAGAATTTTCAAACTCAGTAGTCAATTTAATACTATCATGTAACAGGCTGTTGGGCGTTTGAAATGCTCAGCAATCCTTACTAGTTTGGATCCAAAAGCAAGGTCTGAAATAAAATTGTCCATTCGTTAACAGTACCATCACATGAAACACAGTCTCATCATATTTTTCAACAAAGGTACAATTCTATCTATAGTACGAGTCGGTGTAGTAGTTTTTTCAAAGTTGATAAGCTGGATATACATAGCACATATATTAAGGGGAAAGTAATTAATATTTATCTACTGTTTAATTAGTTTGTAAATTGACGGAGCACCCAATGAGATAAGTATTTGTAAGCCTGAGGCTCACGATTGGTTTATTTTGTATAATAATGTCAAAAGTATTTAATAGAAAGAAGTTTGTAAAGTGTTTTTATATGAAAACCACTTTAAGTTTTACTAAAATTTACACTTACGACTTTTACCCTTTTTAAGGAAAAATCACTAAAATTGCTTACATGTTTGTAATGTCGTACCTTTTTTTGTTGTTCTGCTCAATAAAGACCTGAAGTGTCATCTTACTCCGAGCCTTCTACCTTTTCTTGCTCCTCCCTTCATCTCTCTTCTCAACAACCGCCATCTCTGACTCAAGGCAATGGAAGGGGAAAGTTTCTTTAGTACAATTCACCCAACCGGTGGAGGGAGGAGAAGTGGAGGAGGTCGGGGAGGGAGATGGAGAGAAGAGAAGATGGTTAGGTGTAGAATGGGCATTTCGGGTTTTTTTAGTAGAATAAAAAAGTGACATTCAAGCATGTAAGCAAGTTAAGTGGCTTTTATCAAAAATTAAAAATAATAAGTATCAATTTGAGCAAAAGTTTAAGATAGTTGTCACGTTAAAACTCAATTCTAAAAGTAAGAGCAATAGCAGGAAATTGGTATTTTATTTATTTAACTATTGCAGCGTACGCACTGTTGAGATTGTGTCTTTGATTCTTTGTATAACTTCATGAGAATTAGATAAGGTTAGAGATCTATCATGATTAGGAGATCGAGTCTCATCATGATTAGGAGTTTGTATCCTATTATAATTAGGAAGTTAGGGTAGAGATAGAGTTTTGGTTTTCCTATATATTCTTCTATTGTTGGAGGAAAAACTAAGGAGGAGAGAGAGAAAGCCAATATTCTTGTAATCTAGGATTAGCAGAGGGCATAGCCTGATTCAAAAATATTATGCAAGACGCGAGGGTTTCATGGACTTTATCTGTGCAAAAGATTATAATATTAGGAGAGGGTTTCACAGTCTTTGTCTGTTCAAAAAATTATAAGGAGTGGGTATTGGAGAGAATATGAGAGTTGATTATGTATATGAGTTGAGAGATTGAGAGACGAGAGTTAAGTGGTTCTTCTTATAGTTCTTCCTAATACATAGTGGAGTTCTCGTATTGTTGCTCCGTGGATGTAGGTCGAAGTTGGTCGACCGAACCACGTAAATCTCGTGTTCTTTCTTCTTGATTGTGGTTGTTTTCTATCTTGTTAATTGTGGGTTGGCTTCCAAAGTTGTGGAGATTGTAGCACGCGAGGAAGTAGGCTAAAATTCTCCAACAAATGGTATCAGAGTAATGGTTATGGATTCGGGAGTGAGTTTACAAGACAGACGTCATACAAAAGTAAAGATCGACGGCGTTACAAGAATCAAGATGAAGAAAAAGAAAAATAGGATGGCGCTATAGCAATGGGAACACTGTAGTGATTGGAACATTGTTCACGTGGGTGAGGGTTTGGTTAAAATTTATTAAATCAAATCCGATGGTGCTAATTAATTTGTCTTCTGATCGAGGTTTTGGAGGTAGATTTCGACGATCTAGGAGTTGATTCCTAAATTTTGGAGTACTCTGAACTCGATGGGATGGTTTGATTTTTTAGATTTTTCTCAGATTGGTCAAAAAGTAATGATAAGTTCTAATGGTGGTAACAAGACTGGTCTGATGGGAGATAGGGAAAACGAGTATTCGACGAATGAGACTGGTGTAGAGAATCAGATATGATTCTAGCAGTAGAGTAGTCAGCATATAATTATTTAGAGTCATCGTGGGAGCAGGAGTTGGTTGGTGTGTAGACTCGAGGAGGACAGTGCCAGATTAGGTGGAGCTTGCAAGCATGTACGAATGAGTGACATACATAAAGATGGAGATGGAGGCATTAGACTTGATGACGATGAGCACCCATATTCAGTCCAAGCCAAGTGATGGAGTAGATAGAGGCATCCGACTTGTAGTGTGAGTAGGAGAGGTGCACCAATATAGTTTGAGATGAGCGATACAGGAGGAGCATAAGAACAACAAGCGGGGGGAGGCTATTATCAAGCTCAAGTTGGGAGGAGAAACATGGTTAATTTACTTCTAATGTTAGAGGTGGCGAATCTCTTAGTGTGCACAAGAGAGGTGGAGACGCCATAGCGAGGCAGATGAAAGTGAGTGTCATAGGGGCATCCGGGTTAGAGTACGGGTGTTTCAACTAGGAGTGCAAATACTTCAAATTGAAGTACAAAAAAAATAGAAGACTCTAGCATGAGATAAAAAATTTTAAGACGGCGATGATATATCTTCAAGGGAGTTTAGAAATTAAATCCAATGTAGAGATTGTTGTGATTGTGTATTTGGTTCTTTGTATAACTTCATGAGAATTAGATGGAGTTAGAAATCTATCATGATTAGGAGATTGCGTCTCATCATGATTAGGAGTTTGTATCCTATTCTAATTAGGAAGTTAGGCAGGAGATAGGGTTTTTGTTTCCCTATATATATTCTTCTATTGTTAGAGGAAAAACCAAAGAGATGAGAGAGAAACCAATGTTCTTGTAATCTAGGATTAGCAGAGGGCATAACCTGATTCAAAAATATTGTGTAAGAGGCGAGTGTTTTGTGGTCTTTATCCATGCAAAATATTATAACATTGGGAGAGGATTTCACAGTCTTTGTCTGTTCAAAAAATTGTAAGTGGGTTTTAGAGAGAATATGAGAGTTGATTATATATATGAGGTTAAGAAATCGAGAGACGAGAGTTGAGTGGTTCCTCTTGTAGTTCTCTCTAATACATAGTTGATTTCTTGTATTGTTGCCCAGTGGATGTAAGTCGAAATTGGTTGATTGAACCACATAAATCTCGTAGTTCTTTCTTGTTGATTGTGGTTGTTTTCTATCTTGTACGTAACACATGTTTGAGGAAATAACAGTGATGAATATGTCCCTATTGCACCTCTGACTATAATGATGGCATCTATCTACGTAATGATTTGAAAAGAAAGTACTCCAGAGGAGTAACAGGCCATCATCTTCCCAACTAAGTCTCAGTTGATACGGCTGAAAATATCCCGCAACTTGAAACAAAAGGTGACCCGAAATAAAAACCTATGTTATAAGCTGCCAGGCTCCAGAGAAGTAAAGAAACACAACATCGGTTAGCAGGGGCCCAGTGTTCTGCAAAATGGTTACTATTCCCAAACAGAGAAATTTAAGACCCTCCTCCATTAAATTAAGTACCTCCTCCTCCAACCTCATCACCTTCGAAACTTCCTCCCCCTATCCATGACAGACTACACTTGTACTATCTATATGCGGATAACATTCTATTAATTCTGTAGGAAAGCATTTGAAGAAATACAGGGCATTTTGAGACGAGAAAGTAATCGTGGCGATGGCCCGCCAGCTGGTGAAGAAGTTGCTCCTCTGCGGAGCAAAGAGCTCTCCTGACGAGCCTCAAGAAGGACACATTTGGGTTTGTGTTGGAGTTGAAGAGACGCAGAGGTTTGAATTGGATGCTCATTTTCTCAATCATCCTCTGTTCGAGGATCTTCTTAAATTTACAGTAGAGGAGTTTGGGTATTCCTATGATGGAGCTCTCAGGATTGCATGTGATATCGATCTTTTCTCGCATTTGCTTCAGCTGCTGAGGAGTAGCAACCCACCAGTGGATTACATGGAACTTCAGCTCCTTATGGGGAGGTTATATGCATGCAGGCGACAAAAGTTCCGCTAGCGTGATACTTTTTATTTTTTATTTTATTTTAGTTTTGTTGTTGGTGGTGGTGGTGGTGGTGGTGTTGGTGTTGTTGCTGGAGATATAGATAAGGTGAGTAGAGTATGCAAATTGTCAAAAGTCACTAAATCAAGAGTCTGAAGTTTTGATGAACATTGTGAAAGTACCCTAGAGGGGAGGGGTTGAATAGGGTAATTACTAATCTAATCCGATATTAATACCAAATTAAAACTTATTAACTAATTATCCTAACAATATGATATGTCAAGTAATATATGCAAAGATGTACAATGATAAACAATACAGTGAGCAATAAAGATTAGACAAAGGCAATATAAAAATATACACGAGAATAAGTGCGCAATGTCAAACACAATCAAATGATCACGGAGTTCGGTCGACCCACGACCTACGTTTCCGCTCCTCACCCTCAATGAGAATCTCTACTATCTCAAAAATACTACATAATCGGTTTTCAACGCTCACCGATAAACGTTTATAACTCACACAATTGTCAATGCACAATACACTCCTCTAAGTGTTGGCCTAGCCCGTGCCACCTTCCTGAAGTGCTCGGAATTACAACCTCTCCCTAGGATTTACAACCGATGACACTCCTCTTGGAATTGATCTCGTCTCTCATGTTAGCCCTCATGTTTTGATGATGTTCTTACAACCACCATTATCGGTACTAATGGCTTATTGTGTGTAAATGTAGTAAAATCATTTGTCAAGCTCGTTAGTGCCATTAACGGAGGATGGATGGAATATACGCTAAAACGAAGACATCTAAAGGAGGAGGAGGCCAAAAAGATGAAGCAACGTTATTTCAAGAACAACAAAGGCATATAAAAGCTTCATCCGATTCAAGCTATATCAAAGCTCAAGTATTGCTTTCAATATGAGGATATTAGCCTTCTTTTGTTTTTCTCTCTAGTGCTAGAATGTAGGCAAAGAGTTACTGAGTTTACTTGAAGCTATTGGGAATCACACACACGTTTTTAGACTTGTGTCTTTTAAGCGTTTTTTCACAAAACACTATTTTTCACAAGTATGAGTACCTATCTGCAAAATTCTTTTTCCAAACAGTTTGTTTTTAGTATTAAAAACATTTTACAAAGTTTCAGAATTTTCAGAGGTCAAATGAATATCTTGCAAATATTTCAAGTTGGTCAAAAACCTGTTTTCTGGAAAATATCAGAAATGGGGCGCCCGGCCCGGTCGCCGGATCCTATGGCCATCCCTTAGTATCTTTCCAGATTGTCGTCGGTCGACCGATACGGTCGACCGAATTTTCAATCTTCAAATCGGTCGACCGTTCCGGTCGACCGAAGAGGCTCTGCTTGGTTTTCCAAATTTCTTTAGCTGTCAGCGGTCGACCGAATTTTTCGGTCGGTCGACCGAAGCACCTTTTCGGTCGACCGAAGGCTTTTTCCGGTCGACCGAAATTCTCTTCGGTCAACCGGATTTTGTCTTTGGTCAGCCGCGACTTTTTTAAACGGTCATTTACATCGTTTACTGTGCTTTCACTTGTTAGTGTTTGGCACAGTCTGTGATGAGGGTCTGAAGAAGAGATTATTATCTCATTTGGGTAGATTTGTTTTTGTTTTAAAATGATTTAAACTTTTCTATATAAACCCCCCAGACCTCTTCTTCTTCCTCAGCCCTAACGTTTGAAAAACCAGAGAGCTTTTTCTGTTTCCTGAGTAAATTTTCAAAACTCTGTTTTTCTCTCTGTTTCAAGTGTGATTCACCTCCCAGCTTCAGTATACCTTCTCTTTGCTATAAGGGCTGTGTAAAGAGAGGTTCTTGCATTTCTTTCTTCTGCTGTGTGAGTGAGATCTGTGGAGATCTACTGTGAGGGAGTGTGATCTGTGAGATCAAACTGTGTAGTGAGAGAGATCTGTGGAGATCGCTGTGTAGACGAAGTTCCGGCTTCCAAACCGGGTGTGTAGTGGATTTCTCCTCGAGAGTGGGGAGCGGGGACGTAGGCCAGAGGGCCGAACCTCGTTAACACATCGCGCGTCAAGGATAACGAACTCCTAACCTTATCTCTCTTACTTTTATCGCATTTCTGTTTTGTGGTTTGCTTGTGCTGATTTTTAATTGCATATTAGAGCCTCTTGACCCTAATCACCCCCCCTCTAGGGTCCAACAATTGGTATCAGAGCTTGGTCTCTATATCAGTTTTTGGTTTAACAACCTTAGAGAAAAGATCTAATGGAGGCTTCTTTGAATATGCATATGTTAGAAGGACAATCCACCACTAGACCACCTCTCTTCACAGGGGCAAATTTTGCTTATTGGAAGGCTAGGATGAGAATTTACCTTCGTTGCATTGATCTTGACATACTAGGACTCATAGAAAAGAAATATGTAGAGAAGTCCAAAGTTGAGAACATGTCCGATGATGAAAGGCACCTTGCCAATCTCAATGCTAAGGCCATGAACGCCTTAATATGTGGTCTTTCCCCAAATGAATACAATAGGGTTTCCACGTGTGCAACCGCATACGAAATTTGGCAAAAATTATGTGTCACACATGAAGGAACACCCCAAGTTAAGGAATCTAAGATTAGTGGACTCATGCATGATTATGAGCTATTTAAAATGCTTCCTAATGAATCCATTGATGCTATGTTTTCCCGTTTTACTAATATCATCAATGAATTACATGGTCTAGATAAGCAATTATCCATTCAAGAGATGAACTACAAGATACTTCGCTCATTGACTCCGGCATGGGAGCCCAAGGCTACGGCCATTGAGGAAGCTCATGACCTCACTACCTTAGCTCTTGATAGCCTTATCGGAAAGCTCAAAGTGCATGAGAAGAAGCTCAAGGGGAAGGAGAAGGAGGAAGTGCCATCACGAGAAGTTGAGGAGCCGTCACCAAAGTTGAAGACCATAGCTCTCAAAGGAGCTAGTGACAACTCATCTTCGTCGTCGGAGAGTGAAGTCGATTTTTCTAGAGAAGTGGCTCATCTCTCTAGAAGAATCTCTAGACTTATAAAAATGAACAAAAAATTTAACCCTCGATCTAACAACAAGTTTTCCTCTCGTGTAGGTAAATGTTTTGAGTGCAATGAACCGGGTCACATCGCTAAGGATTGCCCCAAGCTCAAAGAAAAGTACATGAAGTACAAGAAGAAGAAGGCTATGTATGCCGGATGGGAAGAATCCGAACCAAGTGACTCGGATAGTGATGAAGAAGGAGCCAAACTTGCTCTTCATGACCCAAATGTTTGTTTCATGGCAAATGAACATGAGGTAATATCCGAGGCCGAAAGTGAATCTTTTTATATGCAATGTGACATAGCTATGGCTTTAGAAGAGTTGAACTTTGAATTTAAAAGAATGTCTAAAGAATACTCTTCTTTCAAAAAATTGCATGCCTCTTGTGATATTAAGCTAGAACAACTAACAACCTCTCTTGCTCTAAAAGATGAATTGCTAGGAGATCTCGATTTCGAGAATAAGCAATTAAGATCAAAGATTGAAAGATTAGAAATTGAGGGTTGTAGGACTAGACCCACTCATGCTTATGCCAACTACAATCACCATGGTAGAAATAGGTTTCATGGTTCTAACATTCGTACATACAAAAGAAATTTTGTATGCACCTATTGTATGAGACATGGACACATTTCTACTCATTGTAGAATTAAAGACAATGAAGATTTTTATGGTTTGATATGGGTACCCAAAGGTACCAAAACTACTAACCACCAAGGACCCAAGACATGGGTACCTAAAGCTACTACACCTTCATCTTCTTCTTTTGTAGGGAACGTCACGGCAACGACGTAAGGAGATGTGGTACCTTGATAGTGGTTGCTCACATCATATGACGGGCAACAAAGAGTTATTTGCAACCCTATCAAGGATTGAAGGAGGCAATGTCTCCTTCGGTGGTGGTGAGAAAGGTAAAATCATTGGTATCGGTTCTATTGGTAAGAAACCCTCACCCATTATTGAAGATGTCTATTTAGTAAGTGGTTTGAATCATAATCTTCTTAGCATTAGCCAATTAAGTGATAAAGGTTTTGATATTTCTTTTAAACCGGATAAATGCATCATTAGTATGGATGGAAAAATTGTTTTTATTGCAAATCGCAAGTCTAATGTTTACATTTTTGAGATGAATGAGTTAGTGAATCAAGATGTGAAGTGTCTTGCGGCAATTGATGAAAATCCTTGGATTTGGCACAAGAGACTTGGACATGCAAATATGGAGTTAATATCAAAATTGTCTAAGAAGAATCTTGTGAAAGGGCTACCTAGCTTGCACTTCATAAAAGATACAATTTGTGAGGATTGTGCCAAAGGTAAACAAACAAAGTCTTCTTTCAAATCCATCCATGAGGTATCGACTTCTAAACCCTTGCAATTACTTCATCTTGATTTATTTGGTCCTATGCGTGTTACCTCTCTTGGAGGCAAACACTATGTTTTTGTGATTATTGATGATTTTTCTCGTTTTACATGGACAATATTTCTTGCAAAGAAAAATGATTGTTTTGAAGAATTTGCTAATCATGTTAAAAGAATTGAAAATGAAAAGGATTTGAAAGTTGTTAAAATAAGAAGTGATCATGGTGGTGAATTTCAAAATGAATTTTTCTATGATTTTTGTGCTCATCATGGTATAACTCATATGTTTTCCGCTCCTAGAACACCACAACAAAATGGTGTTGTTGAACGGAAAAATCGTACCATACAAGAGATGGCACGCACTATGTTAAACTCATTTGATTTACCAAAATACTTTTGGGCGGAAGCTGTCAATACGGCTTGCCATGTTTTAAATCGTGTTTTGATTAGACCAAAGCTTAAGAAAACTCCTTATGAACTTTATTATGGAAAAACTCCTTTCATTGGTTATTTTCGTGTCTTTGGTTGCAAATGCTTTATTTTAAATACAAAAGATCACCATGATAAATTTGATTCCAAAATTGATGTTGGTATTTTCTTGGGTTATGCACCTCGAAGTAAGGCTTATAGGGTCTTCAATAAACGAAGCCTCGTTGTTGAAGAGTCTATAAACGTTACTTTTGATGAGACTAATGTTGGCTCTCAAGTTGTGTTGCCTAGGAAAGATGATGATGATGATATTGAGGGAGGATTGGACTTGTTGCAAATCAATGACACTCCCTCTATAGAAGTTCAAAAG